AAAATGGTAAAACATCCGTGACAAACCTGAACACTTAACCTGACACTATCTGGATTTCACCAAAAAAAAAAAAAAAAATTGTAAAAATAGTGTCATAATTCTAAGAACTAAGGCAAATATTTTTTTCAAAAACAATCCCTTCACCTAGAGGACATAATTCAGCAAAGGAAAAATGCTAACTAGAATGCAGTTAAATTGTGAGCTTTGATATACCCAACACTGGCAGGGTAACAACTGAATTGCTGAACTGAAATTCCCAAACAAGAATTTGAGAATGAGTATTTTCAGCCTAAATTGAATATTGATAGTAGTTTTGCTTGAATTTTCTTGAATTTCTCTGTAAATACTAGTTGCAAACTCTATAACATAGAATATAAACATTAGTTATATCAGAATCAAAAATTATTTAGAGGACACAGGAAGGAGTGGACTATGGGGCTTTTTAGCAGTACCAAAGAACCCCCTATTTGTAACTGCTAATTCTCCCACCTGGTTCCTCTTTTTTTCTTTTATTTTCTTTCCAGTCTGTGGGGTGCCCAGTAATCCCATCCGAGAGAAAGCAAAGATTTTTGGAGGCACCCTTGCAGAAAAGGGCAACTTTCCCTGGCAGGTGTATTTTGATTACCCAAGAGGAGGTGGTGTACTCATCTCTGAAAGATGGGTAATGACTGCAGCTCATGTGCTGGAGGGATATGACAAGCCCAACATGTATGCTGGGGTAATCAACGTTGGTAGAGAATCTCTGTACTGGGAGGCCACGCAACTGATCCCAGAGGCTTCCTTCATCCATCCTGATTGGAAGGAGCAGCCCATAGAAACCAGGACCGATTTTGATAATGATATTGCACTACTGAAGCTGAGGGATCCTGTGAAGATGGGCCCAAACATCTCACCCCTCTGTCTTCCTGGTAAATCACCTGAGTATGAGCTGCAAGAGGGGACTCTGGGCTACATTGCTGGCTGGGGCCAGAGAGAGAGAGGAAGACTGCCGATTTACCTTTGGAAGGCCCAGATTCCTGTGGTGGACATGGATAAGTGCCGATCTGTGAAACCAGAGGGCTCTGCTGATTCCAGTGCTTACCAATTCACTGACAATATGATCTGTGCCGGTGGTGACAAGGACAGCTGCAAGGGGGACAGTGGTGGAGCCTATGCTATCCAAGATCCACTTGATGACAGACGATACTATGTGGCTGGGCTGATCTCCTGGGGACCAAGATGTGGTACCTTTGGTCTTTACACCAAGGTAGTGCGTTATTTGGACTGGATTACAGAGACCATGAGCAAGCATGAGGATGCAGAAGCTTGGCAGGATTAGCTCTTTCTCCTTTCAGCATGATCACCCTTTCTAAATGTGATGGTTGCATGTTCAGGTTGGCTGTGGTCCTGTTCTGTGTGTATAATGGGCCTACTCATTGTGTCTGTGCTGAGTGGAGAGTCAGGAATATGTATTGGTTTCTCCCACTGTTGTCATGTCTGGGAAGGGAATTTCTCTTTCTTTTTTCACTCATAGTAGCATAAGAGGAAGATGCTATTCTGGATAAAGAGGCTCCTTCTGCTTCCTCTCTTTTTTTTCTATCCCATTTTTTTCCCACTTGGAAAAGATCTAGCCATGCCCTGCCTGACAGGGAGATTTCAATGAAGGTGTGAGAATAATTGTTAGTTCCCAAGATAGGTTAAGAGCCTGGTTTCTGGTTTATGTATTTCCTGTATTGTTCAAAATATCTAGCAGCATTAAAAAATGGCCAAATTGTCTTTTGTGCAATGTGCTATTCTATGTATTGCCTTTCTTCTTCTCAGTCTAGGCCTAGTTCTCCTTGGAACTCCCTAAAACAAGTGTCTAGTCACATTTTGACACTGCCACCTTTTGTCAAGCTGTAACTTGAGTGACCTCACCTCTCTACCTAAGAGTCTTTATGAAGTTCTGTCTGGGATGGTTGCATCTCATTGACCAACCATTACCAGCAATGAGGACTTCAGACTTCTGAATCAAGCTGAGCAGAAGAGACATCTTTAAAAATCCTTTCATTCACCTGTCCTCAGGGATTTATTTTTCAAACTAGAAAAACAGATAAGAAATAAAGGTTGCTTGATTTAGGGAAGGTAGTGTTGTGCAAGATTACCTAACGTGTTAGGGGTGCCTTCTGCTCCAGAAAATACTATGTTACTCACAAATACCTTTCCGCTAAGACGAAGGGAACTGGTACAGATGGTATATGAAGAAAGTCAGAGGAAGCTAGGTTTGTTCAGCTTGAAAAGAAGGAAACTAAGGGGGGCACCTAATGGCTGTATTCAGATACCTAAAGGAGGACTAGAGGGTACACAGAGCAAGACTCTTCAGAAAGGTGAACAGTGACAGGACAAGAGAAAATAGACACAAATTGCAATTAGGGAATCTCCAGTTGGGCTTTTTCCCAGGATGTGGGTCAGCATTGGAATAAGTGCCATAAAAGACTGGGGAATCTCTGTCCCTGAAGATCTTCACAACTTGCCCAGGTAAGGCCCTGAAGCTCTTACGTTAGTCCTGCTGTCAGCAGTGGATTGGACTAGAGACCTCCTCTTCCTGTCTAAGTTTTTCTAAGAGTCTAGGAAATAGTGAGGAGGATGTATGCAGCTCTTGGGAGATTTCATACAGATTCCTGCACTCAGCTCAAGCACCTTCAATTTTGTGTAATAAGCAAAAGGTTATTTTGTTGTTGGGCTAATAACCAAGGACCTTATACTACATTCCTGAAGAACTGTGACCCACAGGATGTTGAATGCTTTTTACTTTTATATCTGTATGTGCCAACCTTAATGTAGTATGAAGCTTTATCCTTCTTGTTGCTATGTGGGTGGACTCACCTCAGCTTTCATCTTCTGGAGTGCGAAAGCGAAGTGTCCATCCCTAGTAACTAGTCCAGGCTGCAATCTCAGCCCATGTTCCTCTTGTGCAAAGAAGTGACTGTTGTGCAGAGAAGTGGCTTCCTGGCAAAGAAACATTAATGATGCAGCGGTGCCATTGTAACAATATTTTATAACTTCACAGTATGTATCAGAATTTCATAAGTCATACATACATGCCCAAACATGGGCTAATCATGAGCAAAAGCCACTGGAAATGTTACAGACTGCAATGTCTGGCTATTAGGAAGCTTCTGCTTTGGTATATGATGTATACTTCAGCAGTAGAAATAGCCCAACAAAGTACAATTTGGGGTAAATGAATCCATTTTAAGTTCTGAGTGACCTTTCAAACTAAGGTAAGACATTTCCTTAGCTTCTATGACCACAAAGCCATTCAGGCAAGCAGTGTCACACAATTACTCACTAGCTCACTGATTAACTCCTGTCTTTCTGGAAATGGACAGGAAGAGAAACTGCTGAAATCAGTTTAGGAGAGCAGAGGAGAAGAGAAACAGAAGTGTGGCTGAATGGCCCAGGAGTAGGAGACAGGAAAGATACTTATTTAGCTGGGATTGCTATTCCTAGGAGGGTCACAGATTCCTATAGGGATTTTGGGCAAAGCGTCTATTCTCCATGCCTCTGCTTCCCAAAATTTCCTAGTCTCCTGCAAAGCAGAAGATTTTTTAAGATGGCTTCTCAGTAATTTTTCCCAATTTTTACAAGGGCTTAAGAGTTCGGTATTTTGTTGTTCTTGTCACCTGTACTCACTAAGCACCCAGAAATTCCCTGTTCTTCACCTGGACTACCCCCCAACTGCATATGCCTCATTCTCTCTTCCCTCCCCCAGACCAGGGCTTATCCATTGCTCCTGTGCAACTGGACACTTTGGTTTTCCATGCTTTTGTTGCCTTTCATGCTCCCCTCTTGCCCATACAACTGGGATAAATCAACAGAATTCTGACCCCTGGAGATCACAGATGAATTTATATCAGATGTCCAATTTCACAGATCCCTTACCAGGGTATATTATCTCAAAACCAAATGGGAGACACTGACATGAGAAGATCTGGAGGTGGATCCCATGGAAAACAGTGTGAGAAAGCAACTATGACCTTAGCCCCAGAGTTCCTCTCTGGCAGACTTCAGTTCTCCCAGTGACTCACAAGAAAAAAGTACTTACTCTGCAGTAGCAAAAACTAGTCAAGAGACAACTCCAGAGAACAGCCATAACCCAGGTGAGGTTGTCTTCTTTCTGAGTCAGCATCATTTTAGAGCTCCTGTCCTGCAGTCAGAGATTTATTTTCATATAGTGTAAAAAGAGTATAAAAAAATCCATCTTCAAATTCTGATCAGTAAAGGTTACTGGGCTCTTTTCTCCATGAAATTGGTTGTTGTATTTCCTGTCTTTTGAATTTTGAAATTTTGAATGTTTAATGTGAAACAACTTATATTTGCCTCGTGTGAAACCATCTGGAGTTTCAGACTGGGTAATCTAATGACTACATGCTATTGCAGAACTGGAAACTTTAGTGGTAGGTAAAGCAATCCCTATATAAAGTCCATAAGTTGCTTTCAGTGATGGGGAATACTTAGTAGTTAAAGACAGAAAAACATAACACACCTGGTTTCTCCAGCAATGATTTTAATATTCATAGAATCTCACTGATGCAATGGGCATGTGCACACTGTACTCAGCACGAAGTACCACATCCTTCAAGAAAGTCTGCTGCCCTGCAAGCTTCCCACACAAGAGTAAAAAAGCAGACTGCCGTAGTCTGATGAAATTATCAGCACTTCAAACAACAACATGTTTGCTGTTATGAGATTTCCTGATATTATTAAGGCTTCATCCAATAATAAGACTTGGAAGAACTAGAATGTCCACAAAGGCATTCCACAAGCTGCCAATGGTACAGCAGCTTTGGTGCATTTTGAAGGTACCACCAAGAATTCATCAAACAATATGGTAGTTTTCAGAAGTACTCATGATGAAGGTTACATGGTCTGCATGTTTGAAAAGCCTTTGGGACATCATCAAAAGCTTTAGATATGCTTTACTGTGTCTGGAAATGTATATGCTATCAGTGATTTTTCAGCTAACAGGACAGCAACATTTACAGCCTATCCTCCCTTACTATCCCTTTGATCCAGTCCAAATAGTTGAGGATCTTCGTGTAGAAGCCATAACCTTCGGCACAGCCAATACCCCAAGAAACAATACCAGTAGCAACCCAGCGACCACTTTCTGTGTCTAACACTGTGAAGACGCTCCCACTATCCCCCTGGCAGGTATCCCGTTTGACTGTAAGGAAGCCAGCACAGAACATGTTCTCAGAAAAAACCATAGGTATATCTCTCTTCTTACTGTCCAGCCAACTCTGACACTTCTCTTGAGCAACCGCTGGTAGGCTCATATACTTCAAATCATTTGAAATAAAGTTTTTTTCCACACCAAAGCCGCTCACGTAGCCCACGTACCCATCCATGTAGAACGTGGTGTTGGTAGTATCTGGGAGACAGACAGGCAGTATTGTAGGGCCCAGAGTTACTGGGTGTTTCAGCTCCAGCAGCGCTATGTCCCCATTGAAGTTGTGCTCATCTTTAGGGCTGTAATCTGGATGGATAAAGATCCTACGTACAGGGTGGTTACCCATCTTGTGGAGCTCTTCTACCTTGGTGTGGCCGAGGAAAACGTTAGCCTCCTCTGCTAGCTGGTCCAGACTTACATTGTTGCCTCCTGCCCCTTTGGGGAAGATGGTGTGGGCAGCGGTCAGGATCCAGCGATCACCCAGGAGTGCACCACCCCCACGTCCATGGATGCCAGTCAGAGCCTGCCAAGGGAAACTGCCTCTCCTTGCTGACTTGCCGCCCAAGATCCGCTGGACTTCAGTAATGGGATTGACCGGTTTCCCACACACTGTAGACAAATGCAAGGAGATCATGACACCCTCTGCTGCCCTGGCTTGTCTCTCTCCTTCCTGTACCATCACTGTTTGCTTTCACCTTATTTTTGCCTTCCTGGACAGATTTCCCTGTCCTCCCTCACTGACACCATTATCCTCACTCCCCTCCCTGCATGTTGTCCTGGCTTTGTACTGACTGTAAGCATGAATTGGTAAACACCAGACAAAGTCAGAGTTTTTTACTGACCTGGCAAGCAGGCAGGAATCCTCACCTGGCCATCTTGATCCACCCAGGTTCCCTCAGGAGAGCAGGTGAATCTGTCTGTAGGATGAAATGGAAGTAAATGAGACCCAGGCCTGAAGGCATGGGGTGGGAAAATAGAACAGAACAGATTAGATTAGATTAGATTAGTACAGAGTATTTTCAAGCGGTTCCTCTCTCCAAGGTGTCCCACATGCTGCACTTGGCCCTTCCATCCCAAAGGTACCCTTTCCCAGGAAAAGCCGCCTGTGGTCTAGTCTGGAATGTCTCCATGTGGGATAGTAAGTACATCTCAAAGCACCTCAGTTCCAGGGGACCAGTAAAGTTCAGGCACTGCTTCTGTAGAAGAAAAAACTGAAGAGCCATCTGAGTGAAGTCTTAACTTCACTCAGTCCACATGCTTACAGAGCACTGTTTGACCCTATTTAGCCCAAAGAAGGGAGAGAAGAAGTAAAGACATGGATTTTAGGTTCAAGTTTCTGATCTCTGTAGTTTGCAGAGAGTAGGACAAGGTGGTTTGTTCCAGAAAGAGGAAAAAGATGAGTCAGTTATTATACATGCTCAGTATCTATTTCTTAGGCTATATTGCAGGTCTGCTAACTCACATGTCACCTCTCAACACAAACTCCACTACCTCCAACATTCTTGCTTTTTTTAGAAAGTTTGTGCTGGTGACTAAAAATAATTTATACACAATCCATCTTATACTGTATTAAATTGGTTGGATTAAATTGGAGCCCTAAGCCTGGGGTCCAGAGACAATTCTAACTGGAAATTTGAGAGGGCTTTTCACACACAGATTTCACCATTTGTGTGGGATTACAACTCACCACCGCCTGTTCCAGTGACAATGTGATAATATGGCTCATTGCATTGGTATGTGATCACTGACTGGTAGTTGTTGTTTGCAGGTTTGTTAACATAGCTGAATGCCCCATTGGTCAGGTCTGTAGGGTTGCCACAGTTCACAACTACAAAATAGAAAAAAAAAGAGGTGAATCAAAGACAGCCTTACTGCCTACAGGCTTAGGCTCAACTTTGATTGTGGCCAGGGAGGGTGTCGCCATGATGCGAAGGGTGGAGAGGACCAGTTAGTACAGTGCGCAGAGATACTGTGTTCCAAAATGGATCCCAAACTGGGATCTTTTGCTTTTAGATGTTACAGCATTGTATCAACTATTTAGTGATATTTTATGCCATTTTGTAAGGGAGGAAAGACATTTAAGTTTTTGCAAACAGAAAAAATGTATTGAAGGTCAACAGTGGACTAGATGACTTCCACAGGTCGTTCCAACCAGCATATCTAGGAGTCTAAGGCCACAGACAAATTGAGTCATCTTGGCTGAACTCCCTATATTCTTGGAGGGGGAAGGCCACAGCAGGAGGCATAATCCCCATTCTCAGATCACTCACTCTCACAGCGGGGCATGGATTGATGCCATGTCCCATCAGCCTGGCACACAGCCGTAAAGGAGAGCAGCTTTCGATTGCCCTGCATGGGAAAGAAAAACATCTCTGTTGGTTGTACAGAGCCTTACATTCCCTTCCCCACATTAAAATATTATTCTATCTGCCCATCTTTTCACTGCTGTCCAATAGTTGCCCCTCTGCAGTCTGTTCCAGTTGCTGTCCTCTCCCTTGGCTGCCTTTCCTACATCCTGTATTTGCCACAGGCTACAATTTCTTCATAGCAGGCCAAGCTATCAGCAGCCAGCTACCATAAAACCGTGACAAGTCTGGGGTGCTACTCAGTCCTGGCAATGGGATGGCAAGGGAGGCAAGTAGCATCTTCTGCTTCAAGTCTGATTTCATATCCTTCCAAAGATATATTCTTGTTTACCAGTGTTTCCTGGGATCTTTGTTCTCTCATCTTCTGCCAGGGCTTGCCTCTTCGTGAGACAATAAATGCACAAGGAAGTGAGCTAGGAAAGGAGAAAACACTGGAAGAAAGCCTATAGAAGCAAGGAAAAAACAGAAATTGCAAGAGGTTGCCAGGAGTGAAATCTCCAAAGAGAGCTTTACTGAAAGGTGGAAGACTTACATAAACTGAAGAGAAGCCAGGATATGGCTGAAAGGAGTGGAGAAGGGATCTCACCTCCATCAGGTTATATCCAGTCTTGCAGCTAACAATGAAATAGTCCTGAAATTGATAGATGGGCTGCAGGTCTCTGATGATGGTAAACTGATCCCGTGGGACAGGCTGTGGGCACCGTATTTCTGTTAGAGAATGGGACAAATTAAGTTGGTATTAACAAATGGTGTAGATAGGTTGTAGTAGCCTCTGGGGAAGAAACGTCTTACTCTCTGAGGTGTAGTGGATCTTCCAGCCACGGCTGAACCCTGACTCATCGGTGAGGAAGAGTATGTCCACCACATTGCTGTTGGTTTCAATGCTTCCAGGTGACTCCTTGCCACAGAATTCACCAATCTCTCTCCCTTGTGCTTGGATCTGATAAGGAAAACATGTATCACAGGGACAGAAACACAGATGCCTCTCTGCCCCAGTATCCCTATTTCAATCCAGACCAAGTCTGCCACAGTGCACATGGTAGTGGACAGGGCTAGTTGTCTGACCCATCTTTGCTGATGTCTGCACTGACAGATCAGAACAACGGGCTGACCTACCACAAACTCTGCTTCTCCTTTTATCATGGGAATCAGAGCTATCAACCTCTTCAAATTCTGAGATAAAGGGAGATAAAACTGGAAAGGGGGACAACTTTTTTGGCTTCACTCACAGGGGCCTGTGACCCAGAGCCTCTGACCTCAGGACAATGGTAATTAAGCACACTGAGGGAGGGAGAAGGGAGGAACTCAGTCCTTCATGCTGGGGCATTCTCCTTGTACTGATCCCATATTTCTCATCCAAATGGTGGTGTCCCCACAATTCCTGTCCAGGTATTGTCCTGGTGTCCTGTCCAACACCCTGGCATCAGAGTTAGATGTAGAGTTTGCTGATCTCCAGTACCTTGAGCTGGTCATAAGGACAGTGGACTTGCTGGTGTTCATCAATCTCAAAGGGTTCCAAGAACTTGAGGATGATAGACAGGCCCTTTTGCAGACGGATGCTGTAGTTACACTGGAGGTCTTCAGGATAGGGCTGAGGGTACTCAGGGCTGCTCAGGTACCCAGATGCCTCTGTGAACAGCTCACTGCTGCACTCCACTGGTGCAGAAGAAGAAAGTAGAGGTCACATTGTGGAGCTGTCTTCTGCAGCCCTGTCAACTCCTCCCTAAGTCACTTCTGCCACCCTTCCTGGCTGAAGGGCTCCTTCCCTGGAACCCTCTGATCTTTCAAAATTTCAATTTACCTTTGCAGGAGTGGTGGTCACTCTGAAGTTGGTAGCCAGTCCGGCAAGAACAGAAGTAGCCACCCACATAGTTATGGCAGAAGTGCTGACACTGAGGTCTTTCATCTTTCTCAGCAGCACTGTTAGGGTCACATTCATCAAGATCTGAAGACACAGGAGATGCAGGGACAAGGGGAGGAAAGTGTTAAACCTCTCTGATGTACACTGAAAGTACATACTGGTCCATATCCTTGCTTACAGCTTCTCTTTATTTCCCTGACAAGGAGGAAAATTGGTTGGAGCCACATAGGCTTCTTTCTGCATGCTGAGTGTATTGTCTACTCACCCACAGCTTGGTAATAGGCCATGAAGCCCCTATAGGGAATCACTGTGCCATTGTCTTCGTTAGAGAAATCAGAATGGAATGCTAGGTGCATCCTGTTCCCCTTAGATACAAATTCCTTTCTTCCAGGGTGATTGCCTGTGGTTGACCCCAGCCGGCCACAGTATCGGCCCAAGTTCTTCTTGTCTGCTTTGATCTGTCAAGGTTAAGGGGAAATCACTGTAGCCTTATAAGATTCAGCCTGCTCCATGCATCACTATTACCCAGCCATGGGTTGCCAGTACCTGCTCCACCCATTTCTATCCTTAACTCCTTCCCTTTCCTTTGTGGGAACCATGAAAGGAGGCCTGGTGAATGAACAGCAATTGCATGTGGTGGCCGCTAGATTCCCATCTCCAGCCACCCCCTTGGCCCACGTATCTATGCACATACCTTAACATAATCATAGAAGCAGGACTCAGATGGCTCCAGGTCAAAATATCTGAAGGTCAGCTTCACCACATAGCCTTTGGGGACGTGTATATCCCAAATGCTGATGTTATTGTTGGGGTATGGCTTAGGATAACTAGGGGATCTGATCTCCCCAAAAAGCTTTCTTGGGACTGGACTGGAACTGATCACTCCAAAACAGAGGAAGGCCCACAGGAGAAAAGGAACGTGCCTGTGAACATGGCAAGTAAACTATGACATTGCACAAAACTAGGTCATCAGAGATCAGAGGAGACTTTGCGAGTGACTTGTGCACTGTCTAATGGAATCCACATATGGGAGGCCTAGTTGCAGGTCCAGCTTCTAGCTTGGATTGCTCAGGAACAAGGAGGACAGCTGAAATGAAGACACCAGCACTACCCAGGATTCCAGCAAGGCTTTGTGACCCAGCCAAAGAAGAATGTGTTGAAGAAACATGGGTGAGTTCCCTGAGTGACATCTGCCTGTTCCCAGCAGTCAGGGGGCTGGGTCCCTTAGAACCAGGGAAAATTTTGTTTCCTTTGATTCCGGGCCAGCAGGTCATTTCTGTTTATTGCTAGCTTAGGACCTCTGCCCAGTTCCTTTGGTGAGGTTCTGAAGCTTGAGGTTCTGAAGCTGTCGAGCTCAGTTTGCTGAGGAGCAATCCTGCAGTGGCACCTGAGCAGCTCTCTACCCAGTCGTGCTTTGATCCCTCTCCTCCAAAAGCTGGCCGTCATTTTTTTTTCTCATTCTGCAGATCTCCCCTCTTCCCCTCTGGGGAACAGGACTATCAGCGTGCCTCCAACACAAGCTCAACTGCCCAGATGTCATGATGACATCAGCCAGAAAGACCCTTCTTCCTCAGCCCTACGTGCTAGCAAAGCTTGAACGGAGGGACAACGAGCATGAGCTTAGCCCCTTGGACCTCTTCTCCTTCCTGGAAGGGTCTAGCCCTCCCGTTCCCTCCCCGCAATGATGTGGCTGTGCGTCCCCCTCCCCAGCTGCCCCACTCACGCGTCCATGCGCTCGACCGCCGTGCGCGCACT